ACATACATACACACACACATGTACGTATACACGCAGATGTATATGGGCATATTTTAGCACATTTTATTATTTTTATTTCTTTTACTGTGTATTTGCACTGCTGTGGGAGTGGCTCTAATCTTGTTATGCACGCGTGTAATGACAATAAAGGCATTCTATCCTATTCTAATTCTATTTAGGGATAAAAAAATGCTGTCTAACCTGACCTTAAGTTGAAAGATAATTGTCCCTCTTGTTAAATCATGAATTAAATGTGATTCTTTTTGGGAAAGCAGAATCAAGAATTAAGAAATCACCTAAACAGAGCTGTGATCCACAACTAACAACGCATAACAGTTGTGAACCTTCCCAGAAGAGCCTAATCGACTTAAACGATTCAAAGAGCACATCACGACTCATCCAGGAGTTCCCAAAAGAACCCAGAACAGAACCGCATCTAAAACCCTCCAGACCTCAGCCGCCTCAGTTAAAGTCAGAGTTAATTAATCCAAAACAAGCAAAGGACAAACAGCAAAAATAACACAAAAGCATCGCCAAAATAACCGTGAGACTTCTGGGGAAATATTCTGAGGACAAAAGCAGAACTTTGTGGAAGGTGTGTGCCCTGCTCCACCTAAAAAGAACCTGCTACTAACAGTCAAACACGGTGGTGGTGGTGTGATGGTCTGGGACTTGTTGTAATTGATGGAATCATGAGTTCTGCTCTCTATCAGAAAACCTGCCTGTTCGGTCATCAGTTCCTGAAGCTCACTTTGGTTCTGCAGCAGGACGATGATCCGAAGCTGCTTTTAGGAAGCTTCTGACTGCACGTGGGCCAAAAAGTTAATAAACGCCTTATTCCAACAAATGGATATCACATTGTCTCTTCTGTAAGAATAACCTAAAAGGCTTTCCTGGTCACAATAAACTGACCTTTTTCATATTTAGAGTTAAGTTAACCTCGTTCTCATCTAAAGCAGCAAGTCAAAATGTAAATAAAATAAAAAAACTCATTGGAATTTGACCTGCTCAGGAATGTCCGGCAGCATCAGGACATCTTCTCGCTTCCTAAAACCCCCTTCGCCCCATCAACGGCTCAACTACAAACTGCTGCTTCGCCTGAGGAGAATCACTTCCACCGCCTGATGTTTGTGTCCCGGCTAACACGACAATAACAATAAAATCAACAAACGACCAACATTACATTATTGCCCCTCTAAGCTTTAAGTACTCTCTCCTGTTCAAATTGCTTGCCGACGGGGAGGAAAAAGCTTTATTTCTGTTACCAACACATTTACTCTATACTTAGTGGTCAAAGGATAAACGCTAATAAACCCCATCTTGGTGTAAAATGACTGAAACCCAGCCGACTCTTGCCCAAACAGAAAGAAAGAGCACTAAGGATGTTAAATACCAATTTCTTCAGTGTTTTTATTCAAATAGTGCATCATTACTCTCACATTTATATGTTTTATTAAAAACTTACCAGGACTTTCAAGGTTAAATTATTTTTATCATATAAAGCTCACAAGTGGTTTCAGGGATGTTAAAGCAACATGGCAGCAAAATAAGATAAGATAAAATAATTATTATTATATTAAATGTATAATAAATTTCTGCTGTTTGTCAGATTTGAGTTGTTGTAATACGTTTACTTGTTATGTTGTCATAAATATAAAAAATGTGGTTGAACAATTTATTTATAGTGCAAATTTAAAATCAACCAACACACTTTTTGTCTTAGGATCCTTGTTTTCCAGAGCCTGACTGGGTTTACAGAGACAGCTGGATCAATATAAAAAATGTAAACGGTGATAGTTAGGCTACCCTTCGAATTTGCAGCTCCTCGATGACCTCGTGTAGATGAGTTTTAAATTCTAGCAGCTGTAGCATGATGGTTCCTCCACTTCCTGTTGGACTGTGAGAACCGGACGACTCCTGCTCCAACGCCGGCTCTTCAAACTGAATCACAGTAAGAGTTGAGTTTTACCACAGATTAAAAACAAAACTGAAGCCTCAGTTTTAAAACTGAAGTATAGATGGGTCATGCAGACTGCAGCTGAAGGGATAAGATCAACAGATAGATCGGTGCAGCTTTCTGCAGTGTTGTGTACCGTGTGCCAGTCTGGTTTGGTAAAGACGGAGCTGCAAGGTGAAACTCCACCACTAGAATGAGATCTCAGAAACAAGCAGTCAAAACAAATTTGAGGAGACAGCGCAAAGCTGCTGCTCCTCCTCTTCGAGACGAACCAGTTGAGGTTGGAGCAGCACGATATGTCGTTCGAGCATCATCATCATCACAATAAACATGTACACAGTCACACTGCAGGTCCTGCAATGCAGGAGGCAAATTAAATCAATGTCTTATATAAGGACTAAACCACTAAATTAAAACTTATTTTTATTTGGATACTTGACTGGCAGAAACAGCTGAAAGCATAGCTAAAAAATGTGCAGACACAATTTAAATCAGGGAAAATAAAGTATACAAAGCATTTGATGAATATTATAGACTTTGTGTTGTACTGTGAAAAGTTGTGGCTTACAGCAGCGTGGGAGGACAGCATCTCAGAGTCTGTATTAAGATCCATTGAGCAAACAAAGGTCCCGCCGGGCCTCCTCTGCCTGTTAACTGAGATTAAAGAACATTTTTTTTGGAAAAAGGTTAATAGAATAGGCTTTTTATTAACCCTCCTGTTGTCCTCATTTTCTGTATACACCCTTTGTCCTCCGGGTCAAAATGACCCGTCTCCACTAAATCCCCAATATAAGCAGCTTAATTGAATTTTAAACACCAAATTTCATCTTGTATATTGTCATTCACCACAAAATGTGTGAATACTTGAGTTTTCCCTCTCCACTTRAATTTCTATAACTAAAGAAAGGAAAAAAATGTGCAAAAAGGAGTTTCGAATGCATTTTTATTCATCTCAATGAATCAATTTTCTTTTACTTTTCTCCAGTGAACAATTTAAGAGAATGTACAATACAAAAATATGAAAAATAACATAACCCATTCAAC